GTATGATAATATATGGCATTGATTGATGTTCCAGAACATAATTTATGAATAAGTAATAGTTCTTTTGTCATAAAAACATTACAAACACTTTTCCTTCTTTGAATAACTTGTCTTCTTTTGTTACTCATTTTTTATAGGAATGCACCAATTTTAATGAATTTCAATAAGGTAATTATATAAAAATGAGAAAAACGAAAATTCGATAAGAAATATATTTACTAAATGTATTTTACCGATGGTAATTAAACAGATTGATCAGATCATTTTATTAAAAAGAAAAAGTAATTTATTCAAATTGATAACAAATTCCGCTTGCATACATAGGGAAGTGAATATGGGCGCAGATGGATGTGCTTTCTCCTCACTTGCACCCAAATTCTTCTTTTCTTCTGAGAATCATCACGTAACATCCGAAAAGCTCAAATGATTGATTGTTAACAAACATTTTAGAGAACTCTGTGACTGCTTGGTTATTCTCAAAACACTACAATGAACATTTTAATGGTGAAAACTTTCGGAAAAAAAAGATCTAAAATGTATTGACAATAAAATGTAGATGTCGCTGCGATCGACATTGTAATTTACTCATCAACTACATGCGAATGGAAGCGATTAAGATCAGAATAGAGTGAACCAACATTAGTGCAGAATGAAAGACGCAATAATGGAGACAGAAATGATCGTATGATGAGAGAAGAAAAATAAAAAAACACAGGAAGAAAAAATACGCTGTTAACTATTAAACTCGTAGTAGGAGAGTTTTTTCTTCCTGTTGTGCGGAACGTCGTTTTGTCTGGGACAGCGATATGAACATAAAAAAAACCAGAACCAAGAAAAAATGACTACTTTTTTATTCCTAATTATTTTAAAGTCCAAATCAAACATTGTTGTGGAACAGAGTGTAAATTTCATCCAGTGTCAATTACCAATTATCAGTAGGACATATTATTTTATAGATCTGACATTTATATTACTATCTTGCACAAAACGACGTTTTGTAGAACAGGAAGAAAAAGTTCCCCTGTTACGTTATCAAGAGTCAGTAGTATATTTTTTCTTCCTATGTTTCGCAATTTTTCTTCCTTCATCACAAGGTTATTTCTGTCTTTATCACACTATATCGTTTATTCCACAGTGATATCAATTCCCTATTCTTGTGTTAGTCGCTTCGACTCACATATATTTGATGAGTAAGTCATAATATGTATTGCAAGAATGTCTACATTTTATTGTCAATACATTTTAGATCTTTGTTTTTTCCGAGAGTTCTTGTCATTATAATGTTCATTCTAGTATTTTGAGATTTATTTATTTCAAAAGTTGTCTTTGTAGTTTATGAGAATAGGATTTATTTATGAAGAAAAAAGAAAGAGCAAGATATGAGTTGTAACATTAGCTGACGAAGTCAATAGATGTAAAACATCTGATAAGTGTATTCCTTATCTATGCTTGTTTCATTATTCATTCTGTCAGGTGTTCTTCCACGATTAGAATTCTTTTTATAGTCTATATCTGCAATTATGACGTAATCACATAAATGATTCATGTCACGAAAATCAAGTTATGACGCGATTAGTTGCAAAACTGGTAGTGATTTTTTAGCATTGGAGAGTTTATATGATTTACGCTTGTCAACTCCTATTGGAGTTGTTTTTTTTTTGATAAAACAAAGACCAAAATAAATATTGATGGAAAAAACTCACAATTCAAGAAGTATCACGTAGAGTAAAAAAAAATCCGGCTGAAGGAATATAATGAGAGAAAAAAAAATAAAACTTAGTTGAGTCACGAAGCAATATACATCAGACGTTTCATGAAGAATGCAAGAACAAGTAATTATCGAATGTCTATATATATGAAACACATGGTAATTCACTCAGTATCACTTGAAGAAAGAGAGACCTTGAGAGTAAAGTAACAAGAGGATAGTACATAGACGCTATGAATCCTGAAGTAATATGAGTAAGTATTTGTACAAAGTCGAAACTATCGAATAATTGCGTACATATGCGTTTCATGAGATAGTTCCTATCGTTTCTTAGCCCTAATCAATGACATCTAAATGATGACTGTGTGATTGAATTCATCGCAAGCTAAATAGCTTTTAAGAGTGATTCATTTAAAAAATGACGCAAAAGTTACATATGAAAGTAATAGACTGAAATTAAAAAAAACTTTCATTTATATCGAAATAAATCTCCTTGAAAATTTATCTATAGATGCACAATAGTGAAATGTTTATATGTGATCCTATCGAGAGTCATCAAACTGTATACTATTGTAGATATTGCTTTAGAAAACAGAAATCAAACATGTGAGTCTTACGATGGTGGCTGCCATGCTTCAATTAATATTACCAAAGCTATTGAATGGTATAAAACCGTATAAAGTTTGATGAGTCTCTCAAGAAGTTTTAGGTCAAATACAAAAATTTCCATTTTTTGCTTTTCTTGCGAGAATATTCGAAGTCGATTCAGATCAGTTCTTCTAGAGCACGTTTAAACTTCTAGTATTATACATGTATGAATAAGCTTTCATGGACTGTCTTTTTACTCATAAACGAAAAGTTTCTTGGTTTTTTTGAGTGAAGACCTTCAACTATTGAAATTGTATTGATTAGAAACTAGAAAATGCGTATGTAATATAATCGCGATTCTCTTTCTCGATCAGACCGAAATCAGTTGACTTAACGTTTACTGCTAGTTTGCTTGATGATTTAAAAAAAAATCTTTCAGCACAATGCCATAAGGATTAAAATGTGAGACGCGATGAAATGCTTGTAATCATAATGAAGAAATCTCACTCAATTTACCATAGTTCTTCGAGAGAGTAAAGACGCGAGGGAAGATTCCATTCTCTCTATATGCTTCCATATTCACTAATAATTGTATTTAACAAAAGCAAGTCTCTATATTCAGATAGGGAAGTGCTCAAAATCGAGCTACAATCAATGTGAGATGTAAAATTAAAATTGAGTCGATCATAGACGTGGCAGATGCTATTACAGAAATGTTTCTCACATCTGTAGGAGGAGTCGATGGTGAGGAACGGGATGGGGGGGTTTACTTTTCTTGTTATGTAATTGAACATTCATTAACAATTGTATTTTTCAAAGAAAAAAAAACAACTTATTACAGTCATTATAGTTTATCTTATATTTCTACAGCACAAAATATTAGTGAAAACGATTTGGAGTTAAAGATAAAGATCACATATGTGAGTACTTTTTTGAAAAATTGAATACTATATTATAAGATTTAATTATATTGACATCATGAAGTTCATAATTTGAAAACGAGATCGAAGTAGTCTACACATGTAAAAAGGAAGATATTTCCTTTTCTGAATCACTGTTTTCTTGGCATAGTCTTAGTTTCGGTACTAACTTCGCTTATGTCACAAAATTTGGGCACATTCCAGATATTATTGAGATCGAGACCAGTCCGTAGATTTCTAGTCGAAGACGTTCATGTTTTGAGATAAAGTTAACTTAATATTTTTATTCTTTTGTGTACAATATAATACTAGTACCGAACAACAGAAATCTTCTAACAGACTTTCTATTAATCATTTCAAGAAGGAATGTTCAGACTGTTAAATCGAGGCGAAAAAAAGGATAAATTTTAATAATCAAGAATATCTGAGTGTCGTTATGATTTTTTTTATAGATTAATAATCGAAAACTATCTATGAACTGCCACTTTTGATAACCAACTTAATCACAAGGATGACCGATCAGGTATATTGCATTCGATAAAGTATGATGCAATATTTTAGTTTTTTCGTTTCAGTTATTACAAAACCAACCTGCAATGTTAGAAGGAAACAATCCGTATGTATAAAATTCAGTTCGTATTCTGTTTAGTCGTTGCTTGTTGTATAAATATTGCTTATGAAAAATATAAATCAATGATATACTATTTTTAGACAACCACCACAGTCTAGATTCACTTTAAGTAATGATCATGGCGTAATACATTTTGCAGAAAATCATCGCAAATCAGACGTAAGTGTGTGTCGTAAAAATATTGTTTTTTGGATAAAAATTAGGATATTATTCAAGTGTTCTTATTATAGACGTATTTTTCTTATTGAGAAAGTTGCATTGAATACCAATTAGAAAAGGTTTTTGTAATTCACAATTTTTTTTGAAGTAGGATTATTTGCCGCTATAGTCTTGATCTAATATAAGGACATGAATTACTATTGGCTAATTATACGTTTTATATTCCGAAAAAGATTCCGATAACTTATTAGAATAGCTAAGGAAAAACATAATAAAAAATTCGATAACCAATCATCATGATAAATATCATGATCTACCATTTAAAACATGAATGTAAAAATACAGCCGACAATAAAATCTATAACTAATTCATGAATATATTTCAATTTCTTTCGCAAATATCTATAAACGGGAGAGGCATAAACAGGAACAGTAGAGTATAACAGTAAAAACTATCAGCGTCGATGGAGCAACTGATTGTAATAAGGGGATAAAACCCTAAAAGAAATCTGTAACACCTAAAAATACTCTCTTCTGTCTTGTTAATGCTAAATTCTTATATAAGATTCATATTTCCGACCTATCTGCGTCTATGCTGACAAGCTTTTGTCAAAATACGATTGTAATGAAGTGAAGTAGATAGTGAGAAAAGCCAACTCCACATTCAGGCTAACTCCAAAGATCATCACAAATATATAAATATGCTAAGTCTCTTTTAAAATTTCAGTTGGCCTTTGGATTTTTCTAATGAATTTTAATTGTCACAAGACGCTATGTCTTCGATGATACCATGAATCATTATCAATATGTATAGAGTCCTAATATGCGATTAAAGTAGTCACGTCATATTTCACATTTTAATCTTATAGGAATTATGCTGAAAGCTTTTCTAAATTCTACATATCATATGTTCTTATAGTATGTTCGATTCCAATTTGATGGACGTCCGGCTGCAACTCCAGTTGAAAACCATCCTCATACTAACAATGACAACATGAATGTGCCGGATGTAGATGCTATAATTACTGATTATGTCCGCAATAAATGGCAACTGTCACAACCAGAATTGATTATATCACTGATCGGTGGAAATGAATATTTTAAAAATGTATCAAATCAAACACGAAAATTATTTCAACAAGGCATTATATCGGCTGCGTCAAACACAAGTATATGAGTATTGTTTATAGATAATTTCAAATTATATATCGAAAAATTTTATCTGATTCGAAGATGCTTGGATAATTACTGATGGTTTACATTTGGGTGTGGCACGAGAAGTAGGTCTAGCATTTGATCAACTTCGTTATAAGAACATAAAAACCATACCAAATATTCAATGTATTGGAATTGTCGATTGGAATATTATAAAAAGTACGTTTTCATCTTTATTTTACATACTATACATTTGTTTCAATGTACATCTATGTATAGATAATCAACAATTAGAACAATTTTCTGATACAACATCAGATTCGGTAAACAACTTTCTAAGAATGAATCATAAATATCAGTGTCACATCTACTCTATTTTATATGTTGTTTCTAATTAGACTTTCAATAATTTTGTTTAAATAATCTTCGCCTATACTAATAGTCTAGCAAATCATTACATCTGTGGGTTTATGTAGCTTATTTTGCTTGCCTGCTATTTCCATCGAACTAAAATCACTAACATAGAAAACGACGAGAACTAAATATGTTCAAAGAAATGCTTATTCTAAGCTAGCCATTATTGTGAAATAACATTAGTTAATTTTTTTTCTGTTACTTATGCTACCTATGATTTGTGTTTAGGAGTGTGAACTACTTTATCAAACACGGCAACGATCAGATGAACAAGAGTCAAATGATTTCCCATTGGATCATAATCATACTCATTTTCTTATATTTAATCTTGATTCCGATTTGGTCGCTTCTCAAGCTGACACCAATTGGTTTGCAAGATTACAAATAGAGATTGAAGAAAAACTAGGAAAAATTACACAACACGGACAATGTAAGATATTGTCGGTTTGAAAAGTTCTCATTCGACTAGATCGAATCGCTTATAGATACTAAAGTAGAATAAATAGTACGTGGAAATTCAATGAAAAAAACAAAGAATCTATAATCTAGTTTGCTTTCATTACTGTTTAAAAAATTTAAAAACATCGATATAAAATACGTTATACTTACAATATTTGCCTCTAGTAGAAATGAACGCACAACATAGGTAGATGGAGCTGGTTGAGTTTGATAAATTCACCTATGGTTAAATTCTAAAACGTGCTAAAATATCGAAAAGAATAAAATTTGTTGCGTCTTAAGTCAAATCGTCGTAATCATTGGCGAACTATTCCGCCTTTACTCTTCTGTTACTTTCTCGTAGTCGAGCAAGTTTTAACTAGTTGCAGCATTAATATTTGTGTCATAGTTTTTGAAAATTATGTTCGATTGCTGAAATCTATATCCGAGTGAATGAATTTACGATCAATAAATCATTCGAAAGTTTGAAGGTAGTATCAATATTGTATTATTGAGACATAAACTAGGCTACAGTTGACTAGATCGAGATGTTGATCTTCGACGATACAATACATGTATGATAAATATTATTTTTTTTTAAATAGCCAATTTCATTCCAATCATTCAAATTCTCTTTGGTGACAATATTTCATCAATTGCAAGTGTTTTGCGAATCAATTAAACGAAAAATACCAGTCATTGTTATTAGTGTAATTGCATATGTGCATGATCGAACTCTACACTTTCGTTATAGAAATATTTTAGGATACCGGTGTTACAGCAGATTTGATTGTTCACGAATACCATAATTTATATGGTGAAAATCAAGATCGATTGAAAGTTGAATATGAGAATGCCATGCAAAAACCTGAATTTAATAATTAGTATGTCCAACTCATTGCTTACTTTTGTCACTCAAAATCTTCTATCTATTACTCTTTGTTTTCTAGCGATACAAACCAAACTTTTGGTTCAAATCAAACTAGATTGAATGGGTAATTAATGTTGAAATATCTGTTGATATATGTTTGAATCAACAGAAATTTTCAAAATTAAGTCGTTTTACATGCTGAAGTTTGTAACATACGAAGTGTGTTTTGAAACGTGATTGTTAATCAGTATTTGAATAATATAGTCAAAAAAAAAAATTGATGAGTCTCTGTATTCACAAATTATGATAGACATGTTGATGTGCTAGTTTCGATCGTTTCTAAATTTTTGTAACTCATCTCATTATATTAGGCTTTAGATAAATTTCTTAATTATGAATTGATTTGAAATGTGAAAGTCAAAAAAAAAAACAAAACATTTCTTGCCTCCATCAGATCTAGTATCTTGACCTATGTCATAAACCATGAGAAACATTTCGACATATTGTGCCTTGAATCTTCTCAGAAACAATGATCAATAAGCCAAGTGTCTTAATGTACAACTGAAATAACAATTCCATTGTATTTCACATTTCCATTCCGAAGAGTTTGGGCTAAAAGGTTTTTCTTCATGAATATAGTTTTCTTCGATTAGAATCTTATCTTTACATGATTTTTAGAGTAATTTGAAGCCAAATATTAGCAAAAACTATAGAAATTCTAAAAGTTTGTTCTCATTCCAAGAACAAAGAATTTTAATCTGCTCATATAAATTATCTTACAAAAATCTTTTTAGAATGACAAGACAATTCATCGAAATGATGAAATCGGAAAAAGGTTATTTCTTATTGAATTCATTTCAGTTATCTGAAAATGAACCAGAGTGGAAACTTGATGAGGCCATATTGAGTGCACTTTATAATGGTTAGTTAATATTTTATTTTACATTTCATTTCTTATGTTTCATATAATAGCTGTTCATATAGCCAATAATACATGGGAAAGAAACGCACGCAATCTTATATTAGCTACCGCATGTAAAAAATATGAACGAGTAAAACAGTATATATTCGAAAAACAAAGTATTTCAAATTGGCCATCATTAGAATTGGATAAACCATTAAAGTTTGCAATACATGGAAATTATATACGCTTCATTGAATTGTTCATTGAACATGGTACATCGTTCGAACGATTGCGCCGATTAATTACTATTAATGATTTATATAAAAATTTAGTGAGACAAATTTCATCCCAGTTAAGACTATTTTTTGATAATTTTCCATATTCGTTAGACTGCAAGTGACCGATCAGCAATGCTTCCTATTGTGAATGAAAATGACCAATCAGCAATGGTTCCTAATGTCAATGAAAGTGATCAATCAGCAACGATTCCTAGCGTCAGTGAAAATGACCGACCAGCAGGGGCTCGCAGCGTCAATGAAAATAACCGATTAGCAACAACCCTTAATATCAATGAAAGTGACCGATCAGCAACGGTTTCTAGCGTTAATGAAAATGATCAGCTAGTAATAGCTCCTGAGATCAATGAAAATGATCGATCAGCAGCAGCTACTGGCATCAATGAAAATGATCGATCAGCAACGGCTCCTAGTGTCAATGAAAAAATGGATATTCGCCGAAAATATTATGCAGCTTGTTTTAAATCAAATGTGATCAATTTTGATTTGAATTATCAAGGTTTGTTCAATACTGTAACGTTTGGATTTGTACTAACTTATAGAAGTTTTTCGTGAGCAACTATTACTATTGAATTAGGAAACATAGAACAGTTTTCATCGGCAAGTAACTTGTTTTCAATAAAAACATCAAATATCTTTTATCGATTGGTCAAAACTACGGATCTCTATTGAGTTATAGCAAAAGTCACAAAGGAATTTGACATGACTAATTTCATATAAATTTAGCGAATATCACATTAGACTATGAAGAGTACCAATGTGCATAGTAATCACTGATATTGACTTTTAGTTATGCAAAATTCCAAAAATTTACATCGATTCGAAAAAATGAACATAAGCATAAATCTGAACATTTCTGCTCCCCCTACAGGAAACTAGCTCTTGATATTCATTCAGGGTTTTGAATACCTCGTATGAAGTCTGAAAAAAAGACCAAATGCCATTAGAAATGCTGCCGTCCCTAACAAATGCAAAAAAATCCGAAATAAATCAATGGATCGAGATGCATTCAATTCGAACTATTCCTGATTTCTAAAGAGGTTTTTGCATATGTAAAATCTTTATTATGATCCTAAGGATGATTGTATGTAAGTCTCAAATTTTAGACCTATTAGAGACTGTGCTGACAAATTTTGAACTCAGTTGAAAGTATTTCAGATAAATAAAAATCAATTTGGAATAGAATCAAAACCTCATGGTCATTCACTGTGTTGACTCAAATGATGTTTTTTGTTTTACAAATATTGAGAACATCTTGGAAAGGTCTCAAAGTTATTATTTTGGACAACAACCAAATGTTCATAAGTTTCCTATCAAATATATTTTCAGATTGTCAGATTCTCTAATTCAGTACAGCGTACACTTTACAAAATATGAGGTTGTGAGATAAGTTATCATTTCTAAACAATCGATGCTAAAAACATTTTGTCATGAGACATGTTTCTATGTAAAAACGATTTTTAGTTTGAAGTCATCTCTTTACTAATCGGTGTATAAAAAGCAAAGACGAAAGAACTCATTTAAAAGAAGAGAAAATTAACCTGAATAGTACATTTTGTTCTAAGATTCTGACAATTCGAAATTTCAACAAAATCTTTTTTGTATGTTTTTGTAGTGAAAACTAAATTGAAAAAAGCATCAGAAAAGCCTATTAAAGTTGAAATATCAGCCAAAAACATCAAGTCTCGGCAATCTCAATATTTATCTGAATGTTTTTTTGGATTTTATGTGTCATATGATTAGGAAAAAAATTATGGATGCTTTTTTAAAAAATATTGTTCGATTGTTGAGAAAATCAATTTTTCCTATATGATAGCAAAACACTATAAATATAGGTCTATATTCAGAGATTTTGGTTAGTAGAACTTCAGCTTCAAATAAAACAAATATTATATTCAGAATCAGCACAAAAATCTATGCCGAGTGGTATACTCTTGAGGACGGACAATTGACGAAAAATTGTTTTAAGTATTGAATATACTACTCGATGTAGGCTTTTGTGTTGATTTTGAATATGATATCAAAAGATATTTCGTCTCTATCTCATAACTTTTAATTGCTTTGTAATATTTTCATATAGGCCAAGAATCTTGCCTAGAATCCTTTTTGCTCATCTGTTAAAATTATATTAAGTAAGCTATTGAGAAGGTGATCTTACATTCGTCCATCTATGGACTAGATAGTAACATCATAGACTGTGACCAATACTTTAATATGTTGGTTTCAAGTTTCATGAAAGATCATAACAGACATATCGGGATCAGTGGCCTTTGAATTTTCAATTTAATCTTGGATTTATTATCGGCTTGAAGACATCGCCTCAAATAGATTCACTTTTTGTTCACGTTATATAGTTATTTAGCTCGTTATTTTGTGCTAAAGGCTTTTTTGTACTAATAGGTTATTGCTTATTTTCAGTAGTTGATAACTATGATATCATTGATCGATCGGAAGTCGTGAATCGATCAAGGAATGGTATGGTGGTATTCTCTTCGAATGATGCTATTCGAACTAATGGTTATCTCATTGAAGGATCTGTCGATTTTGTCACATCAAATGCATTAGTAGATCCTGAAATTTATTTATACATTATATCAACAACAAGAGAGAAAAATATATTCAATATCATCTATCGACATTCAAGACCAATAAAACTTACTACTTCAAATCCAAATACGAATAATAGGAGCACGACACTTGGATCTACTGTTCACCATTTCTCAATAAAGGATTCAACTATTTACTTAGAAAATGGTCAATATCTTGGTATTGGTTTTAGTAACAGTTCTGGTCAATTATATCAAATTCAGGGTAATATATCATATTATAAGGAAATGAATTCAGCCAATGAGGCATACTCAATTGGACAACCGACCAGATTTACACCACACGAAAATTGTTCTATTGGATTCACTTATAAAATACAACCAGCATTTAGTTCGTGATTATTTGTATAAAATAAGTTGATAAAAAAAAGCGATTTGAATATTCTAGATTTTATTCGGGATTTATTACTTTGGTCAACACTAATGGATCGTTTATATTTGACAATATTTTTCTGTTCTCAAACAGAAGTAATTATAGATTATTTGAATGATATCATCGATCGAGTTTTATATTGTTCTAGAATACAATTGTAGCATCACTTTTGATCAGTAAAGTTTATCAAATTGCTGGCGAATCTGGAAAAAATTCTGAAAAAAAACTTATTTATCGAGAACGAGAGAAGTAATATATAAGATTGTTTGTTTTTTTTTTTGTTCTTGACAATGTCACATATTTAGAATATTTGACGAACATGCAACAATAATAATGAATCGATGTTTTAATATAAATGAAGATGCAGCAATTCAAATATTGACATCACCTTCTGAACTCTATTTCAATTATAGTCCATTGGAATTGGCCGAAGACAATGGTAGCCATTCATTTTTGGGAACCAAATGTGTACAAACATATCTTGACAGACAATGGAGTGGTGCTATCATATATAAAACACAATCGTCAATATGGATTCGTACTCTGCAGGTAAATAAGAAAATAGTTTTATTTGATATCTATATTTACTAGTTTAGACATTTCTAATAAATCCTATCTGTTTACCTGGTCCTGGTTTTAAATGTTGTAGACGACCATGCATTCGGTTTCGACAAAATATTGTAAGTATTCATGAATCTACTTCAATTTTAGACATTTTTACGATAATAACTGTCTACTTTTAGTTATTTACAATTATTTTTCTATTCTTATTCAGTACTGTTCTACTTCGTGATTACTTGCCTGGTAATGGTGATATAAAGAATTTGTTTGGTATATCATGGAAAGAAATATTCCTTCACAGTTGCATGATCGGTATTATTGCTGATGAAATCTTTCAGGTAAAATCTCATTTTATTCACTGATTACAAACATGATTGACTATTCATCAGATTGATCTATTGTGTTTCGAGTTTTTCTTTTGCATTTTACGATTATTGAAAAAAAAAGCAGCACGACAATCGATAGAGCTCTTTTTGTTCCAGAAAAATATGCATAATAAAACTTCTATAGGATGAACACTTTTTGGGAAGTTCCAATGGTATTCATCTTATAGAGATTTTGCATAGATGAAACTGTTACATGCATACAATAGTCAGTAGAACTATTTCGATGACTACACAATTCATGTGAAGTTCACTGCAGATGAATCAAAGAACGAAACTAAATCTTTCATCTAATCCATGACTTTTTTCGAAATCTTTGTTGAAAATAATTCTTCATCGTCGTCTATTTGGGACTTTCGTGTTGATATAGAGTTGAGTGCATTGCAAGTCCAGCTACGCAATTTCTTCTGAAAGGGTCAATGTATGCTTCATCATCTGTTTATTGTAAATAGATAAATGCGCTGTTGTGTTCCAGATGAACAATGTGTCGTGAACTATTGATTTCGTTTGTTCTTTTTTCTGCGATGAATAGATCGCCGACGAATTGACGTAGCATCTCTTTAGAATGCATGTTGTGTGGGTGTGTAGCTGAGAGTGAAGGGATGATCCATATTCACACCCTCATAGAATTAATATTTCATTGTGTTTCACATTTTAATTCAGTAAAGATTGTGCTGAAAACTTTTCTTAACAATTGTTGAATCAAAAAGGCACACAAAAATAGAAATATACGGTACAACATTAAGAATTTGATTGTTTATCATTCAATAGAATTCAGCCAAGTACTGATTTGATAATTTGGAAAGAGTTCTTTGTTTTTTTTGTTTTCGATTTAGATCATCTTGTATTGCAAACAAAGATGTACATGGAAGATGCGTCGAATTTTTAAGAAATACATTACAGATAATTATTGGAATGCTATTGATCTAATTGCAATGTTCTGTTATCTTGTTAGTTTGTTTACACGTCTCGTTAACACGAATTGGTTTTTTATTCCAAAGTAATTTTCTTTTTCTCAAAAAAAAAACAACATGTCAAAATCTATCATTGTTTGAAAGAATTCTCATATGTATTACACATTGTTTATGGTATGTTCGAATCTTACAACTTTTTACGGCATCCAAAAGATGTGGTATTAAATTATTGATGATATTCAAAGCTGTAAGTAATGTTTTGAAAAATTATTTTTACTAAGTAAATGCAAATAATCTTTTTCTTTTCAAGGCAAAAGATTTACTTATCTTTCCTATATTCATACTCATATTCTTGATGGCTTATTCAATTACATCATATTCATTGATGGCAACGAAAAATCAGATTGAACAGAATAGTGGAAATATCTCTCATATTAACAACTCCAATATAACTAATAATCAAATCATGGAAATAAATGAACCATCAATTATCGATGAGATTACACAAAATAACATAACCAACAATCATTCATTGATGTTTACCGTAAAAAAGAAAAATAAGATCGATCTAGAATTTTTACAAATGATTCCAATACATGTTCGAAACATTATCGATTGGGGTATGTGGAAAGTTTATGGACAAGTTGAAATCCTAGATCAAAAAACAGCCGATGGTATTACATTAAATGGTAACAACTTTGTTAAATTTAATAATCAATATATCATTCTCTTTATTTTTGTATTTTGATTCTAGCTGATAACGATGCTTATGGGAATACAACATTCATTTTAACGATCGTCTTTGTTTGTATTTCAAATCTTCTTCTTTTGAATGTTCTTGTTGCGTTGTTCAAGTAAGTATTTGACGATTTCTAATTCCGACAATAACTTGATTCATTTTATGAGGACATTTTTTAAAGAGAAAAAAAGTGCATTCGAACGAATTATAATACAAAAAATTCATTTGAAACAGACAAAATTTTCTAATGATTTATGATACTTAGAAATCAAGTATTTTGCCAATAGAAGAAAAAAGTGTTTTTTAAAAATGGCCAAGGCTCATAAATCCATTTAATGTTGATGAAAAAGACTATTTGGAATTGATTCAAAATCTAGATAAAATTCAAAATACTGCAAAATGAAAATATTACCAACGACATCTCAAAATCCATACATCTGAAAATAAAAGTCTGAATGTTGGTTAAGATTACAAAATTTTGTATTTTATGCTTTACTATAAATTAACATTAGACATACTAAGAAAGAATAGGGTCGTCTAACAGGTCAAATCAGCTTACGAGTATTTTTCTTGGCTAACTTCCTTAAATCATATATTAACGGGAAAAAAAGCATATTGAGAATAACATTCTAGTACTAGATTAATGATGTTTTGATCAAACTGCTATGGCTTTTCGTGAAAAGGCTTTTAACATATACAAGAAAGATTTCTACGAAAACGCGTTTTATCAGAGATGTCACCTTTTTTATTTTCGCGTATCGAAAAATTTTTTAAAGACAGGATCCTCTGTAGTAGTATAATCGATAGTGATCATTCACATTCATAGCCTACTACTGCCGCTGATCAAACGGTAACATAAAGGACATTCTTCCGCAAATCCTGAGTCTGAAAAATTTTTCCTTGATAATACAATGAAATGTTCTCTGTGCAATAGTTAAAAAAGTTTTCCACTATTTTTTCCGTTTTTCGAAACTTGCCTTCCGCTTTTGTGAAGCTCACATATATTTTCGAAGAAAATAGTGAGTATAAATTTTAAGTTCAAGTTTTCGCGGCTTCTCTCCTCTCCATTACAGACCTTAGCAATTCTCCTCCCTAAAAAAATTTTTACTCTTGTTTGTCATAACTTTTAATAAATGAGTATCTTATTTTATTGAATCAGAGTTCTATCGAAAAATTCATTTATTCAATTAAGATTTTATAAATTAATCCTAGCCTTTGAATTATAATTGGAATTTATCTTTCGCTTCTTTACCATATTAGTGATTTTGAAGTTTTTTGCTCTATATTTATTTTATTCATATGAATCTTTAGTAAATCATTCGACAATATGAAAGACGAAGCCAACAATAGTTATGCTTATCAACGATTTCTTCTTGTCAATGAGTATTCAAGAAAATTTACATGTATGCCACCATTGAATCTATTGCAATATTTCATACTATTCGTACAATATATCATTACTCAATGTCAAAATGATGCAAACGGTTAGTTTTATTTGTTTGTATTGAATTAGAATGAATGTTAAATATAAATTTGAATTGAAATTATATTTAGCTATCATATATGGTCCTCTTCTTATTAATAATAAATTAAATTGGACTATTCATAATATGATTACATTTAATAGTAAGGATCAAGTCAAATTAAATGGTATTATCAACAAAGTTTCAATTCATTTTTCAACGGTACCAACAGCTCAAGAACCTGAAATATGGCTATTTGTAATGAAATCTGGAATAAAACCGAATGAATTCGATATTGTTCGATATCAACAACTAAAAGAAGTAAAGCGAAAGACTGGTATACAAATATTTACTGATCTCAATATGCAAATTGATAAAGACCAATATCTAGCTATTCGATTTTCATCCGAAGCCGGAAATCCAATTACTCTAGAAGGAAATCAATATTATAGTTATTTTGATTTTGGACATCATCTAGCTAGAACTATTCCATTTACAATTTGTAAAAATAAACGAATTGCAATGAATTTTCAAGTTCTACCAAATGGTTACGGTAAGTTATTATGACACTAAAAACTATAAGAAATTTATGGCATTATTTTTTTTCCATAGAAAATCGTTCCAAATTCCTACGCTGGTTTCGACACGATGGTTTTCCTGTGATCAATGAATATCAAGATTTTGATCCATATGGTAAACAGAACAAACATCATCATTTGTTTATCTAACAACTCTATTTTTATTTTTATTTATCAGTACAAAACTCATTTGAAATATATGATAGCTTGTTGTTCGAACGAGCCATCGCTAATGACTATTGGAAAGATGTTATTGATCTTATGGAGAAAAATGAACAAGAGATAATATCAATAAAATGATTCAACAGCAAAACAAAAAAATATAATTGACTGAATTTTCTATAAGTATAATGAGTTTAGATTTAGTTTATTGTCTTGTACGCTTTTGTTCTTACTCGCAGGTAATGCTTATAAAATATTTTTTTTATTATACTCTGCATCTAAGACGATCTATTGTTTATGCTAAGTAGTGTGAAATGGATCGAGATGTATACATAACCTATGTTGCTTAAGCTTCGATACCAATCGATAGAAATGAGATGGATAGTAGATGGTTGCAGGTCATCCTTCTGATTACGACTCGACATACAAAGACCTTCATGCTTAATTACTGTGTGTAGATAGGAAACTCACTGATAATAGATTTCTTCTACAAATACGAATTTTCATGAAAAATTCGAGTTCCGAATTTCGACCAGCGACCGAAACGAATAGGAAAATCTCGATTCGATTCATACTGGAAAAGAAGAGAATTCCTTCATTGTCACGAGAAAAATGTGTGTACATCTCATATAAAATTTTATTTAAGTTTTTGTGTGTTAATATACTAAATCTATCGATTTAGAAGAATTTAGAAGCTTCAAAGAGGAACTACAGTACATATTAGGACTTGGATTTTATACTTAGTTGTCTTGGAGTTTAATTTGAATTACAAGAACCTTAGGAAGACTTTCAATTCAAACTATTTTCTTTTTTTCCTTTTACAAAGAACAGAACTTTATTATCGTCAATTATATGTATACTTTAATTAGCTTTTTGTTCTATCTTTTTCAATGTGCTGGTAAAGTGTATGAAATTTTTTGATTAAAATTTAATAGTATCCTTAAATAATAATAAAAGTCGATCACACGAGTCAAATATTGAAACTAGAATAACTTTCTATTGCACATACTTTGTACTTAAAATTATTAAATGAAAATATCTTTTTTTTATTTCTAGATATAAAAAAAAATCTAGTCATCGTAAAAGAAAATCTACAAATTATTAACCAACTCGTGTATTAATTCGATGGTATAACTATCATGCAATCAATGCACAATATCGAATAGATATATAAAATATTTTTAATATTCAATATTTGTTGAAAAATAAAATATTCATCGTATGTTTCATCTGTTTTAGAAGTGAATATATTGAAACATTGAATTCTTTGATTATTATTCGTAAACGATAGAACAAGTTCGATTATTCTATACTAACATCTTTGAATAACAATATCTGTTGTACATAGACGAATATCAATGGATTCCTCTGAAAGACCACTTCTATCCAATAAAAAATCAGCAAGAACTAATAGAAGTAATATTGGCAAATGGAAAAATATAAAACGTTCTGTTCGAAATACTTTTGGACTAGGATCTTATTGTGTGAATGAGTCTGATCAAATGTCAATGGAAATAATAATCGATAATCAAAATACAAGGCCTAATGATCTTCAAATTAACTTTAATGAAGATACTTTATCAATTCTTTGGCTTGATCCTGATATTCAAATTACAGAATATAAAGAGAAATACAATCATCTAAAAGAATTGTTAAAAATTTTTACCCAACATAAAAAATGTGAAGCATACATTCAACATTTACCGATCGATCAAGAATTCATCTTATTTGTTGCTAGTAGCATCAGTAGTGCCATCATACCTTTCGTGCACAATTTAACACAGCTCATTGTAATTTATGTTTATTCGCATGACGAAAATGAAAGTAAAAATATATATCCAAAATATCGAAAGGTAAGCTATAGTTTTCTTTAGCTTAGTTGTTTCGTAATATTTATAATAATACGAAAGACATTTGTTATGGATTATATACACAGATAAATCATTCATATTTAAATGAGACAATCTTGAACAGTTTTCATTTAAGAAACAATTTGTTTGTATAATAAATTTGATTTAGATAAATATCTAAATGTATTTTAACACAAATGCTATGTTATAATACAAGTTATCTCTCTGATTTAGTTTCTCCAATAATCTTTATGCAAATTGATGAGAGAATCTATCAATGTGTTAAATAGATTTTTCGACGGGAATTAAAACCCTTTCAGGCAATCGTATTAAGCAATAAAAAGAATTCTCTAATGATTTCGTTCTTGAAATATCGAATTTTGATTGACTATTCAATGTCGTATAAAATTTTCCGTGAGTATAGATTATTGAGAAAATTTTCAATATTCGATTCTCATGTTAGGAGACACTTAGAAAAATTTTCAACATAATCTGTGCGAAATTACAATATGAAATATGATCGATTTCATTCTACTCGTCAATAAGAATCCAATCTACGGAAAGCATACTGTTTTTAAATGTTAATTAGACAAACATATCGAAATAAACTGCCGTAATTCAGGGATCCAATGATTGAAACATGTGCGATGCTTCTAAACTGGGAGACCGAAATTTCGGTTCACAAAATTTCCAGGCTCGTCCAAAGTGTCGGTGATTTTTTGAGTCGGACCAGCGCAAAAGTCCGAGCCGAAAACTCCGTGGACCGAAATTCATGTAACCCTCAAAAAAAATGTTTATAGGTACAGCAGAAACATATTACGAAGATGGATGATTTATTACCGATATTTCACGACGAACTAAATCAATATCAACAGGAATTGGAAAAACGTCGAGTTTTTAATATTTACAAATCTGAAGGAAATATAGGTGTCATAAATGCATTGGAATCAAATGATCGTTTTATATGGATGTATAATTTTGCTATAACATTCTTTCGTATGCATAAAATATTTTCTGACTTGACAGCACAGCAAGAAAAAGAAGATCTTACTACAGAACTTCGAATGCTCTACAAATCTAATATTAAGGCATTGAAAGAAATCGATTATTTTAATTATGCTTATAAACCAGAAACTTCAATAAAATCTTACGAAGAAATGGAATCAATACGAGAAACACTGAACAAGGCTTTATGTCGAAAAAATTTCGAACTCATAAGTCGTTTTCGTTTTTTCATATTTGATCTATTTCAACAGATCAAATCAAATTATATAACAACACATACAAATGAGAGAACAGATCATTCGTATCAAACATTTTATGACAATCAATGGATACCATTTAATCAAATTGAAGGAATAATAAATTCGAAAACACAGTTAATATCAATCAATCTATTTTGGTCAATGAATCTGAATGAAAACGATGCAACAAGCGATTCAACTAAACATGATACTAATACGATACCGAGAGATTTCAAAATTGTTCGTTTTCAAATAAAAGTACTTCAAAGTTATTGCATCAAAGACGTTTGTCCTCAAGGCATCGAAAATCTTTACTATTATCAAAGTGGAAATCGAATCTTATTTCCACCAGGTACAATATTCAAAGTTACACATTGTTCGAAATCGAATGAGAACGAAAAGTTATATTCCATCAAATTGGAACTAGCATCATTAGATTTTATTAAAATTGAACTCGGTGAAATTATTAATTTTTGGCTAAACAATGAAATATTAAAAACAAATCAAACATCACTTGCTCGTTTGATAATGCACAGCGGTCAATTAGATGAAACTAAAAAATATTATGAATTATTAAACAAATATTTTACAAGATATGAACGATTGAAAAAATATTTTTACTATGGTTTGGGCGTTCTGGCACAAAAAAATAGTAAATTCAAAGCAAAACAATATTATGATAAAACACTTGACATAAAGAATTACGCAAAGAACGAAGTAGCGAACGAAATAAAGAATACAGCAACGGGCGACACAACGAAGAACACAGAGACTTATACCAAGGATGACACAAAGAATAATGCAAAGGATAATACAACGAAGGGCGCAGAGAATAACGCAAAGGATAATACAACGAAGGGCGCAGAGAATTACACCAAGGATGACACAGTGAATAACTCAAAGGGCAATACGGCGAAAGGTGGAGAGAATTACGTCAAGGATAATGCAAAGAGCACTACAACGAAGGGCGCAGAGAATGTGTCTTCAACTGCGACAAGAGTCTGTAATCTATTAGTCGATATGTCTTTTGTAGAGGATGATGATTTACTGAGAGCAAGAGTTAAATGTGCATTAGCCGATATGTACTTTTCAAAGCATAGCAAAGTGACGGCACTTAAAAATTATGAAGAAGCATTGTCCATATTTGATAAGCATCGAAACAAAACAAGTTTAGATATTGTTGAATGTTATATTAGTATTGGAAAAATTTATAAAACTTTTCATACAAATAACGACTATGAAAGTGCATTAAAATCTTTTAAAAATGCAATAGTTGAACTAGACTATTGGGTTTCGACAAATATTCGTATACAATGGAAATATTTACCATTTAAAATTGTTTCATTGCTGAAAAATATAGGTGAACTTTTTCGTTTTAAACATGAGTTCAATAAAGCTTATACTTGTCAGTATAAAGTATTATTAATTTATCAACAATTTTCGATTTGGAACGATTTTCAAGTGGGCTCTCTATATGAAGAAATCGGTAGAATTTATCAAGACGATAAAAAATTACAATTAGCTCTATTATTCTATCATAAAGCTGCTGATATATATTATTGGTTTGATTTTCAAACAAACAATGTTAAGAATACTATTCAGCAACTAATTGAAGATAATATTACTGAAATGAAGTAAGTCAATTTAATATGAGTGTCGGAATAAAATAAACGCAAATGTTTCCTGAATATTTTGGTAACGAAAATAGTTAGCGATCTGTAAATTTCATCATTCAAAATAGAAATTTGAGAAAATGAGACTGTAATAACAATGGGCTAAACTAATTAGAAAAATAGTAGTCGGCTATTTTTGATGCGTTCATTTATTTTGCAATATTTTTTCATCTTCTTTTTATCGTAGAAAACAAAAGATGGCACTTATTGAAGAAGAATACAAGTACACATCAGAACAGCTAGAAGATTTTCTGCCGAGACGATTAATAGATGGGTTATTACTACAAATCGATCACAATCGATCACAACACGACAAATCACTACCAATCGATGTAAAGCCAACACAACACGACAAATTATTACCAATCGATGTAACGCCAATACAATACGACAAATTATTACCAATCGTTAAGAACCTATCGAAAAAGGAAAATTTCCTACGAAGCGATCAGAACATGGCACAACAGAAAAACTTATCACAAATCTATGAGCAACTATCAGAACAGGAAAATTTATCATCACTCGATTAGAACCGAGAAGTCGTTGAAGTTATTTTCGCGATTCCGAATCTCTTGGACTCCCATGGAACTCATTGAAAGTGTGGGAGTCCAGAAAATCCCAAAAATATGTAATATATATGCATGAAATAAACTGGAATTATTACTGTTTCTCATACATAACTAATACAATCTCATTTCTTTAAAGTTTTGAAATCCATTCTATTAAGTAAATAGTGTAGATGTATGGAAAATAAGGCATCAAGGCACTGCCTCGTTGTATATACCAAAGACCAAATAATAATCAATTACATTGTAGACTTCACAAGTTATGAGAGCTTCTAGTCCTAATTGAGAATATAATGACAAAAATTTCGAATGAAAAAAATCGAAAACTAGAAATGATCAAACATCTAACTTTAACAAACCGGAAATGGGCACTAAATATGTTTTCTCTTCAAGTATAAACTGAACAGAAAGCCATAAGATATATAATCTACAGTTATCATTCACAGCTTCTCGAAATTGAGCATATTAATACATGACTCATATCTTTTTGTTTCATATTAGCTATTCGCAAGTAACTGAACAAATATTTTATGCTAGTAAATTTGTGACTTATGTTGCCTAATAAACTTGCTTGCATCCTACAACGATAATATTGATAATTTAGTTCGAAGAATTGCTGACTTTTTGGAAGGAGAATTGTTTAAAACTTATGAGTATTGGTCAATCATACCAGAGATTTAATGATGATTAGGAGTTACTGATTATCGGTTTTTACATTATGCAGACGGCTTTATGATTAGATCTAAGCATGAAGCAGACATAGGATGATAAATCTTTTTTTTATGCCATTACCTAGGCTTTTCATACTATATATAAATAATGTAAAGAAAAAAAGAGCAGCTACAAGTTTGAGACCCATTATTCACTTAACGATATGACTGTGATGTTTAAAGTACAGTAAAACTTCTATAAGATGAACACCATTGGGACTTCCCAAAAAGTGTTCATTATGGGAGGTATTCATCTTACTGAGGTTTTGCATAGATTGTACTGTTACATGTATACAATGGTCAGTAGGACTATTTCGATGACTATACAATTCATGTAAAGTTCACTGGAGATGAGTGAAAGAATGAAATCAAAGCTTTCATCTAATGCATGACTTTTCCTGAAATCTTTGTTGAAAATAATCCTCCGTCGTCATCTATTTGAGACCTTTCGTATTGGTGTAGAGTTAAGTGCATTGCAAGCCCACTTGCTCAATTTCTTCTGAAACAGTCAACGTATGCTTTGCCATCATCTGTTTATTCTAAATAACCAAATGTGCTGTTGCGTTACAAGTGAACAGTCAATTTATCTCAGAACAGTGCATCATAGACTTTTGATTTTTTTTTGATTTTTTTTCTGCGCTGAATAGACCGCCGACGAATTGACCTAGCATCCATTTAGAATGCACATTGTGTTTTGTTGTTTTCCTCTTTTCTCACAGATACATGCATATGTTGTTGAACGCGTGTTCATTATATAGAGATTTTCTTTGCTGAAGGAACCAAAGAAAGTGTTCTTTTACAGCAAAAATTGATTAGGAAGACTGAGATACGTGTTCAAATAGGAGGCGTTCATTAATGAAGGTTTTACTGTATATTTTATTAAATTCGACGAAAAATATATCGTTAGAGCCAAACCAAGACACTTCATTCAAAGACAAAAATGTAGAATTTTCTCTTTTTTCAAGAAGTGACAAATCGTAGTTTTATGGTCAATACTATTCTTTCTTTACTTCTCAATAATTACCTCCATGTTAAGATTAATACAAAGAGAAAATATATCCATAAATACTCGGATTAGCTTAAATAATTTCACTAATCGGCTTATTTTATAAAACAGATATTATTATAAAGGAAATAACAGATCAGTTTCATTCGACATTATTCTTTTTGTTTTTCGTTGTTATCTTATGAAGAGGACAAGAAGAAATGGATGAGTTCTTCTGTGCCAGTTATTTTGATACTTATCTAATGAGACGATTTATCTAGACTTTTAATGACAGCTAGATTCTTTTTTTTTGCTGTGGAAGAATAGATATCACTAAACCTTCATGATACAATGGAATCTCGAAGATTCGTAGTGGCTCAATCAAAGGTGAGCTAGGCCGAATGTTGCCCTACCACGAGAAGAAAGTAAAACATAATCATCACCATCATTAACAATTTATTGCATGAATTTTCTGAACATTGTGGGTCATAGCCCTACCACCAACGATCGTTTGGCTACATCACCAGAGATTCGATGCGTACCCTCGAAAAAAACAGTTATAGGAAATAAAAAGCAAAGAGATTCGAAATTCGATGGAAATTCCAAAAATCCGATCGTAATCCAGGCACAAAGAAATCTGTCGTTTCTCTCTTGCTTTGATAGTATTTTTCTTTCATTCTCCCAATTCCTACTTTTGTGTCGAAACCACCATCAAAAAATATATATTCATAAACAGACAGCCTACTAACTTTTAACAGAAGAAAAGCCTGTGCTGTCAGCTGATTAACTTAAAATTGTTCAACGGTCGAATTGATAAATTAATAGAAGGTTACATAGGATATACTACAAGCTTGTTTGATATGATATTGGTTTGCTATTTCTTGTTGTTTCTTAATATGCGTTGTTCTTTTTCCAATAAAAAGTAAGAAATTAAATTGCTCTGTTGTTCTAGTAGACTTGATATGCATCTTAATAAGTGAAATGTCTAGAATTCTGACTGCAATGGATTCCTTTTTCTCAATAATTTAATTCAGCATTTCAGACTATCTGATACAGTGGTAACTCCTTGAGTTCTACGAAGTTTTCAGAAGTACATAAAGGATCCTGTGAGTTGAATTGGTGTTTGAGAAATAGAATAGGAATCTTAGAAATTCTATGAATACAAAAATCGCCGGTGCCCCCCATGGATCTTACTAATAGTTTTCGTGGTGATCATTTGAACATGACTTTTTAAAATAGATATCTCGAGTATTTCCATTATTCAAGTATTTGATAGTCCATACTTTAATGTCATGAGAAAATAAATGTCAAACAATTAATCTCTTCAAAAGTTTCATATTCATATCTGATTTGAGTCAGACTTACTGATACACACATTCAGTTTCCACGCCATAAAAATACGTATCTTCCATGTCTCCGTACACTTAAGATACAATATGGGTAATTAGTTACTGTTATGAACAACTTTACAAACGATGTAACACAACTCAATTGTAGTCAACCTAAACAAGTAGTATTTAATGAATTATTTGTTTATCCGAAGCATTTATATCTTTATTTCTCTTCTTTGATAAAATAGTTTTATTTACATTTTCTATCATCTGAATAAAAATAGACAAAAATCAATATTTGTATTATACAATCAGTATATATAATTGGACATGTTTGATATTTTCTATGGAATTTTGACAATATTGTCCAATTTCCATCAGGTTTTTGACAATATACACAACACTTGGAAGCGTATCGTGTGTTAGAAACATAGCTTCCTTTTTTTTTTAGCTAATGCAAAGAAAAGAATCACTAAATAAGAATGAATGTCGCACAACCAGCTAAATTTATTTATGTAATCAATACCAATAAATTGGCAAACACATAAAAATTTACACATAAATGGACGAACACAAGAAGGAAAATGAACAAAAGACAAATTTAGAAAAAAAAATACGAGATGTGAACAACGAAAGAAAGCGATTACGATCGAAGTGAGCAAATAAAGCAAAACAGATGCAACAAGCAATAGAAGACAGAAAGAACCATAATGTCCTTATTCGCGTTTAGAGAGAACAAATCTAGTAGATCGAACGATGATATGGTGTGAGTGAGTAGATGCAGGTATGCAAAGAATGTAGATCTCCAACAACAATGTAACAATTTCATGTCATACTAATTGAAATGTAAATATTTCATCAGTTTCAACTGCTTAGTATTCTAGTCAAACTTCTTGAGCAAGAGAGTCATGTGCTATGGATAAATCTTGAGATCTGCACAGGCCAAGTACAAGAAAAAAGTTCGACTCATGTATATTGTCGAATTTCAAGTGGAAATTCGACAATATTAAATTTTCTCGAAATTCCACTTTACCAGCCGACTTCTCAATATGTACTACTATGTCTCAGTTATCTATATTATTCATTTCATTGAAATCCATCAATCCTTTCAAAAATTATGTTCATTGTTGTCGAAAGAAACTGTGCACTGTCCTTTGAAGGTCAATAATTCAGTGATAGTTCAATAAAATGAGTTTAAAGTTTTTGAGAAACTTTCTCTGAGTGAAGAAAGACTGTAGAGACTTTGGTCCACTAATGTACACGTTAATCATGATTTGACAACTCTTTTAATTATAACTCTTTAATTTTTTATTTGGCGGTAATTATTAATTTTTTTTTCTTATGTTTTATATTTATCGAATATCATGATAAATAATAATGTCTATCAATATTCGATTAAAGATTTGGCGATTTGAATTGATTATTATATTTCTAGTTTTTGTTTTTGTTTTATTAATTTTTTTATATTATTGTAAACGAAATGTTAAATTTTTAAAACAAAGAAAAGATAATAATTGTCGACAAATACTTGTAACAATACAAGAACATTTAAAGAAAAATTCATCAACATTATCTAATTATGATATTTGTAAATCATCATCATTATCAAAATACAATAGAGTAATTTCTCTTATTATTTATTCATTCTTTTACTAAATTTTTAGATAAATAATTCCTTTGAACAAATGTCTAATAAACGTTTAGATGGAACAATAACAATATTAAATAAATATGATCCAAATAAAGTAGAAATAATCGATCAATCAATTGATTCTTCATCAATGTTAAACATATCATATGAAAAGAAGAATAAATATGTAAGTTTACATATAAATAACATATTAGAATTTCTATTTCTTTTTTCATAGATTAATCAAATATTATCTAATATTTCATATATAACTACAGATAAATCAAAACAAATAGATGATTCAATTGAGTCTCAACAGTCTACTAATATAAACTTGACAAACAATAAAGATATTCTATTTAGTAAAAATCATCTTTCTAATAGCAATTTAAAAACTAATAAACAAATTATTATCAATCTTGAACAAATTATTCATACAGTTCCATCATGTATATGGTCTATTGATGAAAATTCTAATCTATCAAAAAATGACTTATCAGAATTTAATAAAACTTAAATATTACTAAAATAAATCTACATGAAATGTAGTCATGTACAGTGAACAACAACATGGACATTTGGCGAAACAAACATACCAGGAATATTTTTTACGATTTGCATGATGTAACATATACTTGAATTAATGACCGACTCTTCTATTTAACACTTTAGCACAGTGCCAACCTTGATGAAACGTTCACAGAATGTTTTTCTCTGTCTGATACGTCTATTCAGTTAGCATAAAGGTGTATAAATGCTTCTGTATTGAAATACAGACTGTCGAAAAACTACATCGAATAATGTATCATTTGTTAATATTTAAAATAAAAATTTTCCCAACAAAAGTTCACAGTAAGAATCTTCTCGTGCATTTTTTGTTGGAAATCTCCTCTTACGAATTTCACCTTTTTCTCATCGATTTTTTTTTGACTACTGGAAATCAATATTTCTACGAAAAAAAGTGCGTAATCACCCACTGTGTGGCGTGGTTCATCTCAATAACAGCAGAAAAATTGATTTTCGACTTGAAACTTTGCATGAAGATAAGCTTTAACGCGAGAGTAATTTATTATGAAATTTCAGGTCTTTTTATTTACTTTTATTTGGAAATAAGAACATCACATTTGCTAGTTGATATGAGCAATATAAAAGGCACGCTAGTTTTATTCAAGGATGGGAACAGTAACAAGATCTGAAAAATTGACGAAAAACTATTGTCGTTAAAGGTCTGTATCTATGCAATGTTTCAAGTCAAAATTCGAAAACCAATTTTTCTTATGATACTAAGAAAGATCCCAACATTCATTTAAAAAATACTGTAAAAGTACAGCATCCTCGCAGTAATAAGCTAAGGGCATGAACTCCTTTCAACGTATTCGTAGCTTATTCGGGTCTGCATCATATCTGTAGGCCTCGATTCAAAAGCGATTTTTTTAGTTGGAGAACTTCTCTCATTAATGTGAATATCGGCGCCATCTAGGTAGTTATAGACTAAACTTGAACAAGATGTTTACAGCTATCATTTCGAATCACTTGTTCGTTGGTATATTTATTACATTTATAGCATACATTCGCTATCCTAATTTATTCTCGCGAAATATTTTCTTGAGATGGCTGGTATATGAGGAGTTCAATGAAAGAGAAGAACTCTCCATCAGGTTGGTCTTCTGTTCAAAGCTATAGTTTGGTGATTGATAAGGAGATGGAGTGAACACTTTTGAAGCTTGTCAATTATAGGAAAAATATAGGACTTATTGAAATTTCATTGGCAGAACTTTACACTGGCATCGGTAGCCGAAAAGTGGCGTATGTTCTTCTACTTCTTCAGACATAAAATATACTAATAAAAACTTGTGACTTACACAATGTTTTTAGAAATCCGACCACTTGTTTATCTTTCCTACAGACATAACACTGATCTAATAAATAGCTTTTCTGAACCCCTTGCTGTCGTATAGATGAGATTTTCTAAAAAGAACTTTAAGGTTGCTTTAAACTTAGACCTTTGTTATATTGTCCCAATGCTATGGTATTTTACATTTTAATCTTACTAAGATTATACAAAAAATTCTTTGTCTTGTATCAAACCTACATTAATGTTGTTTATAAATAGTGAATCGAAATTTTTTAAAAAATAAAACATGTACACAAAAAATAATAATTTAAATCAATAGAATGCCAACACTTTTTTTTAACAATATTATGAACGAGTTAATAGAAAATAAGAAACTAAATCATTTCGAGGTAAACAAACTTCATTAGCTGTTGGACGATCAATTTTCTTTCGTTTATATATCGATTTCCAATAGTTTGTATAAATAAATTGTACTAATTTACAATATTTATTCATACTAGTTTCTTTATTTAATAGCCATTTACGCATTGTTGCATTTACACCCAAAATTTCATCTGCCAAATGAAGATTTTCAGTTAATGTTCGTTTGGTAGTAACTGATGACTAAAATAAATTTTAAAGAATTCTTTTTACATTTTTATTAATCCAATATTAAATTCTATCCAGTAACTCGAATCATATGACTGTTCGTTAGTACATTACAAATGAAAATCAAAAAAAAAAAATCTTAAATCTAAGGAATGATACATCCTGATAATATTGAAGTAGTCTAAAATTTGTATACTTGTAATACATGATAAGTTTAACAAATAATTCTCACGACTAAGATTTGCCTTGTATAGAACACTCGTACATGTAGAAGTTTTTTTTTATGATTACAGACGAGAACTCTCGATAATTTTTAGAAGCAGCAAGAGTAAAGAAGTTGAGAAACAGTCCCTCTGAAAAAAAGTGGCTGAGAACAAGGCAAATCTGCCATCTGACTAATCGCTTTTGAGTCGGAACTATCTGTCTTATGTAGATCTTAAGACCGTAACAGACATTGTTGATATATGACTAAAGATCATATATCAACAATGTCTTGTTCTAATATATGAACGCCTTAGCTTCTACGTTTAGCAACAGCTGCTACATCGTGTTTCACATTTTAATAGCGCAGAGATTGTGCCAACAGTTTTTTCCATGAATGTCGTGATCTTCCTCAGAAACATCAGAAAAATATGTATTCGAATTTTGACTTGAAATTTTGCATAAAGATAGACCTTAGTGAAAATAGTTTATTTTGAGAGTTTCAGATCTTTTGATATGCTCCTATCGTAAGATACAGCTATCTATCAATGACAAAGTGATTGCAAATTCCTGAATACTATTCGTTAATAAATCATTTCATGTTTCATTAGCTGCATTTTCTACATAACCATATCATATTGAATTAATTCAATGACCAAAATATAGTCCTTATTTTAATGTCTTTAAACTAGTTTGATATAGAAATCCAATAGCTAGAACATGAACTAGGAAAACTTTATATCTTCATATTGAAACTTTTATTTGTATTATAAACATCTACACTTGTACTATTCAAATTTCTTTCGACTGTAAGTCCTATATTTTAGATCAAAAATACGATTCGCAATTATTCTGTCGTTGGTAGTATGATAAAAACGTGTCTTTTACATCACTTATATATATATCGGTGGATTGGATATTTTTATTTCAAGATAGGAGCACATCAAAAGACTTGAAACTTTCACAATAAACTATTCTCATTAAGATGCTGTCTTTATGTAAAATATCAAGACAAAATTTGAAAAACATATTTTCCTGCAACGTGCCACAGCGTTGAGTAAAACAAAATACTGTAGAAATGTAGTATCTTCGTAACAATAAGCAAAGAACTTAAATTCTTTTAAAGATATTCAAGATCTCATTAGAATCTATATGACATACAGTCTCGTTTTAAAAACGCTCAGTCAGTTGATGAACTTTTCTCGTAAATTTTATTTTTCTCTTCACTCTTATAAAATCTATGACATCTCATTAAATATGTCATTTTCATTAATACTTCAAATTTCACTTTCTTTTTTTTTCTTCATCTTCTCTTCGAATCTATTTATAATATTACCGTATGTTTATTAATTGATAATTTTCTAAACCACAAATATTCATTATAAGCAGTTTCATTCGTTGATAAATAATTTAAATAATTAGCTAAATCTTTTATTGATTTATAATCATATACATTAATATATGAATATTTAGGTGCAAAACGTGTATAATCAGGTTTTCTATTACGACTTGCAACAATTGGTATTGATGTTGATGATAATACATCAATTAATTTTTCTGTAACATAATCTTCACAATTTGAATTTTCAATAGCAATAACAAATTTATATGATGAATATAAAATAGAATTTGATTGTTTATGTGTTGTTATATGATTTGATTTGATATTATTAAGACATTTACCATATGAATCAATACGAATATAAGACATTAATTCTTGAATGAATACTTGACGGCCATTATAAGCATGACTAAATCGATAATTTTGGATAATAATAATAATAATAATATTTATTTAACTTACCAATTTGTTATTATCCAAACAATTGGAGCAGTTGTTATCTTTTTTGAAAAAGGTATTTTTATAGGTGCAAATAATTGATTTAGATATGTATGAAGATTAAAATAAGTAGCTGGTTCTGGATATGAACGTTCAAGATTATACCACATTGGAAAATCAATTTTATGCCAATATTCACCATTTAATGAATGAACTTCACTTTCAAGTATATAAACCATAGAAAATTGTTGTTGTTGATTATTACGTATTAATATTGGTAAATCATTTCGTGGCATATGAATAGAATGATATGCAATAAGATCAGCTTGTTTTAAATATGATTGATCATATGTCCAACGAATAATAAGTTGCGATAAACGAGTACATCGTTCAATTAAATGTAAACGAAGAGTATTATTTACAATTGAATGAAATTTTGATTGACAATAATCGAGATTAATATGAGAAAAATTACCTGAAAAAATATTTAAAATTTTAAGAAATTTGCCTAAATTTGACCATACATGTAAAACTCGAATAGTTTTTTGCGACTATTCAACTACTCGATTCAATGGTCATGTCGGACTCTAATTTGGATTAAGACCATTCCTGTACATTTAAATGTTCAAATAAGACACAAATTTTAAAAAATTCAATTTCTTTAATGTTAGTGAGGTTGATATACACTATAATTGGTATAAACTAAAAGCATTCTGTGGCTGCTTTTAAATAATTTTTCATCAATAAAAATAATTTTTTCTTATTGTCTTCCGTCTCGACGAGACTTTAATAATAGAAATGGGTAAATATTGAATCAATATTCAGGACTAATGATTCTATATGATATAAAGGAAATCAAGGCTAATGATTTCCGATGAATTCTAAAAACGAAGACCTGCCTTTGCAAGTGTCTAACTATATATCGTCTTCCGAAATGAATCATTTTGTTAAAAAATTATTCATGGTAATTACGTTCCCAGCTTTATACAGATAAAATAACAACATCATTACTAATAAAATCAAATTAATAATAAATTCAATTTTTATATCATTCAAGACGAATAGATCATTTTTGACTCATTCTACATCTCTA